GTAGGTCTCATTTTTCCCCTTCTTACCGCTTTCAGCCGTCGGGCTTTGTCTTGCCCGTCCCGTGCGTCTTGTCCTCTGCCATGGCACTAAAAGAAGATGGAGCGCCTCTTTTGTCCATAGATAACTTTTTCATAACTCCAAATGAAACTCCCCGCTTGCACTGCTCCATCTGTGCACGCTGCGCTCTTTGGCTTCGCAGGTTCCAGTGTCAGAAACTTTCACGTGAGACCAGAAATCGCCGCTGGTGCGTTTTTATTTTTTTAGTTATTTCAACGCGAAACTAAATCGTCCACATCTCAGCTCGATCTAGTACTTTTACGCGTTTCTCGTGTCCCACGGAGGCGCGCGGTTCCGCTCCAAAAGCTGAACACAAACTTCCCGAAATGGATAGTAACTTTTTTATAGAGCCGTTCCAAGTGTTGTGAAATAATATTCCCGGCTTTTGAAATAGTGGGCGCTGTAGCACCGCTCTGCTGAGAGCTGCCTGCACAGCTCGCGCCGCGCCGCGCTGGGCGCACGCGTCGTCTTGCCTGCAGAATGGAGATGGGGAATTTGGCAATAAAGCAACATTTCAATGCTGACTTAAAAAAACGATGCCGCTCGAGTCGCCCAGGATATGCTCTCCGGTAAAGGTGTTGAGTCCCAGGGCCACCGGACGGCTGCAGACTGGTTCCTCCTCAAGGGAATGCCAATCAATAATGTGTCTCCAAAGCGCGCAGGCTGAAGCCTTCTGACTGGACTCCTGCGCGCGTCACACGGAAAAAATCATGTATTCATTTCTTCAACATGAGCTTTCATTGTTACGGAAGGAGCGTGTTTATTGTTTGACATTTGTTTATTGATGTTGCATCGATTTATCGATCGTATGTTATTTATTTAGGCCTCTTTTAGCATGAAGGGACTTTATTGTTTAGCAGCTGTTTGTGGACCGCTCTGCTGATTTATCCACAGGTCGGCTGTTATTTACTATGATGATATTTAAAGGCCTCTTGGTTTATTATCTCTATACATTTGGTCATTTATTTATATTACATTAATAACAATTTAAAACGAATTTAGAAAATAAACAAACCTTACAAAGAGGTTTACACCAGGAAGTATAACGAGACCATTTATGATTTATTATTTACATTTTGCCTCTAAAGGCCTTTAAATCTTTGTTTATAATCTCAAATCACAGCTCTGGTTAATTCTAATGATCTAATTATACACTATAAAATACTAAATATGTCAAATTTATAATACAATTATACATGTTTTGTATTTTTAACCAACTTAAAATTGTTTTAAAACGATTTTTCTTTTTATCTTCACAGTCATGTTTGCAGTGTTCATTTTAATAAATAACATAGAGAAATAATTAACTAAAAATAAAGTCTTGATCGTTATCATTTAAACCTCGTGCTCTAAACTTTTTTTTGGCCTCTGACAGCCATGCAGGGATCGAGTTTCCGTCCAAGATTAGGACAAGAAAAAAAAAACCCGAGAAGACTGAAAATCTGGAGTCTAATTAGGCTGCTTTGTGAAAATACTTAAACACGCTGAGGATCAGTAATTGCTCTTGGTCTTGATCTCTAAACAGCTCTGGTGGTGTGTTGATCCGGGTGCTAATGAACACAGATGCTTGTCTTTGGAGCGTCGCTGCGCTCTGCAGGCCTCAGATGTGCAGGGCTGCAGCGTTGCAGGCTGCAGGCATGAAAAATATCGTGTTCTTAATATTCAAAACACACACAGAGAGCCGCAGCTTTTGAATATGACGCGTGGAAGCGGAGCTCTTTTTGGGAGGGGAACGCTTCTGTCAGCGTGGCTCGCATGCAGCTCATGTTTGTTAACCCTCACGTGGATTTTCTACGTTACACGGCCTGGCGGAAGGCCCCGAGAGGAGTGTGTGTGTGTGTGTGTGTGTGTGTGTGTGTGTGTGTGTGTGTGTGTGTGTGTGTGTGTGTGTGTGTGTGTGTGATATGCAGCCGTTTAAGCACACACATGATGACTTCCTCTCCACTATATAAAACAGATGATCTAATTCATTTTAATGATCATTTAAAATGAAATGTAAAATTTTTATTATGAATTGTTTATATTATATTTTGTTTATGTTTACATTTCTGGTTTTGTGTTGACATTTTTCACTTTTGCACAGTTAAAATAAAAATCCATTTATTAAATAATAAACGATATAAAATGACCCGGATGTTCCTTGTTCCAACTAGGGTTGTAGGTTGTCCATGTGCAGTTTATTTCTGTGCACTGCAGGCTGTGTGTGTGTGTGTGTGTGTGTGTGTGTGTGTGTGTGTGTGTAAAACCCAACACCTTGCGGCTGTTTTATTATAGTATTCTTCTGGGTCCGTTTGTAGCTTTAAATTGGTTTTGGATCAATTAAAGCTTCCGGTTGAGTGAGTGCTATTTCTTTCTTTCTTTCTTTTTGAACAACACACACACACACACACACACACACACACACACACACACACACACACACACACACACACACACACACACACACACCGCTGTGAACATTTGCCCAGTGACCTCTGCTCCAAAGCCAGCAGAACTAATATGAATGGAAACGTGAAACAACCTTTCCCCTGTAACACAGCTTTATTGATTACCTTCACTTGCATTATCAGGTCAGTACAAAGCAAAAATATCAGATATTTTTATTTTTAAGAACACTTTTCCCACTTTTCCTCCACTTCCCAGAACAAATGCACAGTATCCAAGGGTCTGACCCTCCCCAGTGCCGGTCTGACCCTCGCTGTCTTTACACATTTCCAGATACTCTTCAGATCTCTGTGTTAAAGGCCCATTATTACACAGACTCACAGTCATGAACTTGGCCTGGCTCAACAGCTTCTTATATTTTGACAGAAGTAGTAAAACCCAACCCGTAACACTTGAAAACCAACAATGGCCGCTATGTTTAACTTCTGGTTAAACGCCCAGGGTCTCCAATGTAATGCAGCTGTGATGTGTCACACGGTCCCCATCCACGTTCACAGATTAGAGCCTGGCCTTATAAATGACACGAATCAGAGCAGGGGTGCTTTTGTTTTGAAGTCTGAGCATCAGAAAGATTCAGATGAGAGAAAATGTTGAAGATATTGAGTATTTTTCTGTATTTGTTTTGTTTAATTTGGGTTGAAAGATTGTTGGCATTTTTTATTTTTTTCTAAAAGTCTGGAGAAGAAAAGCAAATCCAGCTTTGCATCTTGAATCAGTCCTTAGACTTTTAAAATATACATTTTTAAATAGTTTTGCAAATTGTTAATATTTTTAATACAATCATCTTGCAAACATTTGATCTGACCGTTAAACTGTGTTTCCGACCATTTTAAAAGCCAGATTTGCAGCAGAATAGAAATGTTTGTTAGTGATCAACATCGCTGAAGTCTTTTCTCTTTTATTTATTTTCATCTTTTTCAGTTTTTTCTTTGTTTTCTTGCAAAAGAACAGCTGGATATGAGAATATTGTTGCTGTCTCAACAGAACGTGTTCAGAGGAGTCATGTGACCACATTAACCCATAAAACAGAATCTTCCACGATCCATTAAACAAAACCCTTTTTTGCAGCTCTGAGGCTTTGAATAAAAATAAATAAATATGAAGATTTCTTCCTCTGTTATCATCTTTAAATCTTTTTTAGTCACCACCTTTGATTCTCCTCTCCCCTTTTAACACCAGCAGGAATCCTCAGGTTCGGTTTCCTCTCTTGGGACATGATTTCATTGTTATTCAGCAAGCTATACAGCTGCAACTGCACTGCTGTTTTGGCAAAGCGTGCTTTTAGGAAAAGAGAAATAAAAGATTCCAAATAAGTCAAGTGCAATGAAATAATAATTTAAAAAATGCTGAAATATGGCTGAGAATGCCTTTTGAGCCATTTCACCTCCTCTAAACATCATTCCCACTTCATCTCTTCACCACGGGATCCAAATAGTCCCACATCTGCCTCCACCGCAGCACTTTCAAATCACATTATCGCTTTCATCACAAAAGCTTTGTTGCCTTGATTTATTAAAGCACTGGTGCATTTATTTGAGACAGCTGCGGCATTGCTTCTGTTCAATACTCTGAACACTGAATGTCTGCTGAGTTTCACTGAAGGCTGACTTGCTGTTTCCCACTTAGCTTTGAGACACTGATGTACAAGCACACACACACACACACACACACAACAGAATGTGCATGGACACACACACACATGCACACCTCAGCAGTGACAGATTTTTGGTGCATTGATATGCTTTAACCCCAATCAATCACAAACTAGAAAGGTTGAGTGTAAATGTCATCCGAGCAGCAGGAGCTGGCACTGTTGGCTGGCTAAATGTGTGTGTGGCTGCACAAACTAGCATGTGTGTGTGTGCAGCATTTTGTACAGTCGTCGGAGGTCCTGTCACCGTTTCGAGGTCTGACCTTGGCCACAGTGATGGGTGGGCATCTGGGCACACACACAGGCACTTTCACAACGGCGTGCACGTTTCGACCTCGTGTTTCCCGCCCGCTCTCATGCTGGCTTTGTCAAATTTTGAGTTGACACACAAAATACCAGCACATTAAGCTCTTGCACATGGCTCCAAATCCCATTCATTCCACTGATACATTGACCCCACATTATCCCGTTGGCTCCTTCCCACCTTGCACTGTGACCTCATCTGCCATGTTTGTAGTTAAAAAAAACAACAACTTCCCGATCCCTCACTGGCGCAGATTTTGACACGGCCGGGAGACTTTCAGGTGTTTTCTTTTTCATCAGCCACCCCTCTGCGTTTCCAGTTTGCAGCTCGGGGTGGGTCTTTATTAGAAGTAGACCAATGTAAGCAAAAGAAGAGCTGAAAAGACTCCACGCTGAACTTGACTTGCAGCAACTTAATTAGATTTAACCCAGAATCCCTCAGGATGCATCTCATCTTTACTGCTGCTGATTAGCACTAAATGATTATCTCTCTGTGTGGAACTGTGCACCACCCGCTGTTAAACAGTGTGTGTTGTTTGCAAAA